TGGCTGAGCGACCTCAAGTCTGGAAGCGGGGGGGGGTAAGAACAGGGAGTCAGTGCCCAGAAGGTCCAGAGATGATGATGGGGGAGGTCAGAGGTCAAGGAGCTACAAGTGGCCCAATCAGAGCAGCCCAGTGGGACCAGTAGCTTCTCCCAGCAAGCAGTGGTACCAAAGTCACCTGCTCCGGACCCCACAGACATTCCTTCTTGACCCACCCTTGAGTTTGGCCCCAACATGGGGGTTTGACATGCAAAAAATGTGAGGGCAGGGCTTGGAGGTCAGGCTGCCCACCCCAGCGTAGTGAGATGTTATATGTGGCCATCCCCTGGCAGCTCCACCCCAGAGCTGGCCGCAGCTCAGCACCAGGTGAGCCACCCCCCAGCGGCTCTGCCCCAGAACTGGCTGCCTCTTGGCATCGTTCCCCTCTGATGTCTGTGTGAAGGTCTCTCTCAGGCATCCACTGGGCCGCCAAATCTGGACACTGCCCGTCTTCATGACGATGGTGCCGATTAGCAACGCTAATGAGGACAGGGCCCTTATTATGCTGGAGGTGGCACATGCTGTCCCTATCTTGGCTGATGGCACAATCTGCCTAGGATCCAGTGTCCAGCATCTCATTGTCTCCTGCAACCTGAGACTGGCCCAGCTTCTCCTGTGGCGGGTTTCTGGGGCCGCACCCAGGAGAAGGGGGCCTTGTTCTTGACTCCCACTAATGAATGCCCTTGCCTTCATAAACTGGTGCCAGGCAGGACCAAAAGCCAACAGGGGATCCGGTTGCATGGGGCCAAAATGGCGAGTAGGAGCTGTGGGACCCCAAACATGACGATGGGGGGGTGAGGAAGGCAGATACGTTCAACTGTGGAGACATCAGAGTCCTGAGCCTCCACATCCCCTAGAGAGGCCCAGAGAGGAGCTGGGGGGGGAGAGAAGAGGGGGAAGGAGGCCGGGGCAGCGATAAAGGTAGGACAAGGGTATGGGGGGAAGATTACAAGCCCTCTCCATGGCTATGTGCATCTTTCTACCCCACCTTGGACAGTGATGGTGGGAGGATAGTTGGCTAATGGAGAAATCATAGAGTTTGAGACCTCTGCCATGGCTAGAGAGGGGGCTAGGGGATGAAAATAGGTCAGATTGGGGGGGGTGATACCTCGAGGGTATTGCAGAAATCATAGAATTTGGGACCTCCACCCTAACTAGAGGAGGTGACAAGAGGTCAGTGGCTGGGGTGACAGCAACAAATACTAGACAGGCACGGGGGGCGGCGGGGGTGCCAGAAGGGGAAGCAGGGAAGACTCTACAACTCCCACCTCACGTCCCGGCTGGCTGTTCTCCGCTTTAAGGCCCAGAGCAGAGCAGCGGTCCCTCCGGAGTCCCCCCCACTCCTCCCCAGGGATTGGGGGGAGCAGGCTGTCCATCAACACCGGGTGCCATCAGCTGCGCTTACCTGAAGACCTTGACACTAACGGAGGACGCCATGGCGGCTCTGGGCCCTGCCTGCCTGCCTGCCTGCCTGCCTGAGACGCCGGGGAGCTGCTCTGTCTGCGGCTAAACACGCCGGCTCCCAGGAGCTTTTAAGCTGCTATGAAGACAAGGCCAAGGAGGAGTGTTTATTGGGGTGAGGGCAGCATCAGGGGGCCTGGAGCGCGACAGCGCTCGACCCCAGGGAGCTGAATGCGATCAGGGTAATAATCCCCGCCCCACCCCCAGTCTTTTTTAAGCCAAGAGGATGCCAGATGGGAGCCAGAGGTCAGTTTAGGCTGAGTCTCGTTAATTAAGGGGGAGCGGGGAAGCCCTCAGTCTGGCCCCTGGTTGGTTAAGTACCATCCAAGGGGAGCCCCAGTACCTACCACACATGCACAGCACGTGGATCTGAAGTGCCCGGGGAGATGGCTGGACACAGACACACACTGCACATGGGGGCCTCAAGTACCCACCACACACTTGCATGTTGAACCCAGGCATCCAACTGGACAGACACCACACAGGTACGCAGAACCTAGGCGTCCAGGACCAGGGGGTGGGGTGGTCGGACACCCCCTCCTGAAGGCCCTTTGGGGGCAGACAATTGCGGTCCTGGCTCCTGTCTGAGGGGAGATGACCCCTCGGGCCCCTCTGCAGGTGGCGAAGGTGGCAAGGGCCCAACAAGCCCCTTCCCCCCCAGCAGGGAAGCCGGACGCCAGGGTTGCACAGGGCCTGGGTCACTGTGACCTTGCACTGGAGCTGACGGAAAGCCTGGGCAGATGTCGGAGATGGACAGGGAAAACACTCAGGCATCCGGGCTCCTGGCCCTGGCTGTGAGCACCCTTCAACACCAGCAGGGGACCAGATCCCTTCTGAAGGGCACAACTACCTCTCACATCACCACCGGTGCACCTAAACCCCTGGGGCCCAAATCACTTCTCCTTATCCAGCCTCTGCCTAGAGGGGAAACTGAAGCACGAGACTAGCCAAGAGCAAACGCCATCCGCCGCAGCCATTGTTCCCCCATCCTGCGGCACAGAACCCAGGCATCCGACCCTCCCCCGCCCATTCTGGCGATTGGCTGCTTTGCCCAGAATAAGCCCCTAAAGCCATTGGCCCAGGCCACAGAGGCAGCTGGTACCAAGGGAGCATCCTTCTTCCCTGATCCCCTGGACAGACGGATGGACACGTGGGTGTGTATAGATTTGCTGCCTTAGACCCAGCTTTAGCCCCCTGCTATTCTGGGAGTCAGAACCAGCATGGGTGGCAAAAAAAAGTTTGCATAGCAGCCCCCCAAATTCCCCTTCCCGGTACCCCTGTTTGGGGCAGCACTGAAGCCAGGCAGATGCCACCCCCCTGCAGGGACTGCCCGTCCTAGATGCCAACCCCGCACTGCAGCAGTGACGGTGCAAGGTCACTGCCTGCAGACGGGTGCCAGACTGGCACGTACACACAGCGCCTGCCCCCCCGCCACAGGGAGGGGCACTGCTGGGCACCACTCGACCTGGAGAGGGAACCCAGGAGCTGGGGGACAACCCCCCCTTGGCCCGCTCTGCTGAAGGGGAAACATCAGGGCCAGTCTGAAGGAGAGACCCAGGAGGGGGATCCCATTTGTGTCATGGGGAGGGATCCTGTTCCCATCCCACCCAACTGTTACGGGATGAAGGGATTGGTTTTGGGGGCCAAATAGGATCCAAGCAGGTTCCTCTTTAATTTTAGTCCCCAAGAAAAGGGATCAGTCCCGGGTACCGGCGCCTGGACAGGTCCTGGGCTAAGCTCCCTCCTCCCAGCTGGGGAAGGGGCAGCCTCCACCTTCCCCCCATCCCAACAAGGCAAAGGGGCCTGGGTGACGCAGCAAAATGGCTGGCAGCCCTCCCCCACCCCCAAGGAGATTCTGCCCCACCCTCCAAGGGAAGATCTCAAAGCTGGGTTTTATTTTGGGAGGAAGGAAACTGAGGCACAGAGATTCTGCTGCCCCTGGAGATCATGCTCCCCCTTTAAGTAAAGGGACTGGAGGGGAAAGGAGGAATGGGGGGGGGGTAGATGGAGGCCCCCATTTCCACAATGCAAGTGAAGTGCATGATGGGCATCAGGGGGGGGGGGCACAGCAGAGGGGAATAGACCAGTCACCTGCTGCCTGCCCTGGGGGTGGGAGATGTTCCCACTCGGCCAGAGGGCTCTGGGGGCTGCCAATTCTCAGCTCCCTGGATGCAGGACCCGCAGCCATCCAGCGCAAGGGGGTGTCAGAACAGCCCAGGGGGCCCATCACAGCAGAGATAATACAGGAAGGGGGGGCACTCCTCTGCACCATTGTTTCCTCCCTCCCCAGGGCACAAAGAGCCCCTGAGTGAGGGAGGAGAGATCCTGGGTGGTCTTGGGGCAGGGGGGCAGCCCCGCCCCTCCCCCATCCCATTGCAGGGAGGGGCCTAGCACTCGCATGACTGCAAGGGGTGGGGGATACAAGGTGAATCCCCCCCGCCCCTGCTCCTAGGGGTAGGAGGGGATCCTCCAGCTGCAGCTTCTAGAGAGATGCAGGCAAGGGGGCTGGGTATAGGGGGGCTCCTACCGCCCCAGGCTGCAGCCCCTTTCTGCCCTCCCCACACTGTATCCTCCAGAGCTGGCCAGTTTCCACCCCCCGAAAACACCAGTGCTCAACACCCCCCCACGCGCACACAGCTTCCTGCACCCAGCCCTGGTCCCCCTCCACCCTGCACTGCTGCTCCCGGGCAATCGGACCCCCGCCCCCTCGGCATCGCCATCATCCCCTCGTCCCAGCTCACTCGCAGCCCCCCCAAACCCAGCCCCCTTGAGCCAAGTTACCCCCCTGATCCCAGCCTCCACAGGAAAGCCTCCAGAAGCTGGTCCTCCCCTTGTCCTGGAGCCCCCCACCGGCACAACAG